AAGTTCTGCAAAAGTTCTGACCTACCCTCTCATACTGGAAATTGCAATAAAAAGAACCTATGCTTTAAAGTTATTGAAAAGTTATTCATGACAACTGGCCAAAACTAACCACCGGAATTTCATTTTTATTTTGGCAATAAAAATGAAGTGCACAAACAAAGGAGGGATGACAGCTGGCTTAGAAACAACCCATTGGAAGGGAATCTAGGAGTCTTAACATGTCACATAAGTCAACAGGGTGATGCAGGAGTTAAAAAGGCAAATGGGGATTGGATTGGATGGCCTCTGGGGTATCCTCCAGCTCTAGGGATGTTTGATTCTTTGATTCTACTACAAGCTGAACGTGATCCAATAGTATGATGCAGTGACTGGAAAGGCCAATGTGATTGTGTCTTCCTGCATCGCAGAAGGGGTTTGGACTGGACATCCTTTGGATTTGTCAGGCTTGGCCTCATGTAAGCCACCCCAAATCCCCTCAGGGAGATGATGGCGGGGTATAAATAAAGTTTTATTTGTCGCAGGCAGATGGTCTTTGTGGCACAAGTTCCAATGAATCATCTGAGCAACGGTGTTATGCCTCTGCTTGTAGTCTGTCTGCACGATCTTCTTGCAGCACCTGAGGATGGGATCTATTGTTTCATCGCAGAAGGGGGTTGGACTGGACATCCTTTGTGTTTGTCAGGCTTGGCCTCATGTAAGCCTCCCTGAGTCCCCTCGGGGACATGGTGGCGGGGTATAAATAAATAAATAAATAAATAATAATAATAATAATTATTATTATTAGGGCAGTGGTTCTCAAACTGTGGGTCCCCATGTGTTTTGGCCTTCAACTCCCAGAAATCCTAACAGCTGGTAAACTGGCTGGGAATTCTGGGAGTTGTAGGCCAAAACACCTGGGGACCCACAGGCTGAGAACCACTGCTTTGGAGTATCTTCCAACTCTAGGATTGTATGATTCTGTGATTCTACCACAAACTGAACACGAGTTGTTGAAGGCTTTCATGGCCAGAACCACTGGACTGCTGTGAGTTTTTCAGGTTGTATGGCCATGCTCCAGCAGCATTCTCCCCTGACATTTCATCTGCATCTGTGTCTAATGGCATCTTCCAAACTTCAGAGGTTCTGTTGGCAGTGAAGCAAGTGAAGTATGTGTGTGTGTGTGTGTGAAATAACATCCAGGGTGGGAGAAAGAATAATAATAATAATAATAATAATCTTTATTTATACCCCGCCACCATCTCTCCAAGGGGACTCAGAGCGGCTTACATGGGGCCAAGCCCAACAACACATCAATGAAAACAACAAAGCATTCCTTGTCTGTTCGAAGCAAATGTGAATGTTGCAATTAGCAAGCTTGAATTAGCATTTCAGTAGCCCTGAAGCTGCAAAGTCAATCAGTGAGGGCATCGGCGTAGAAGTAGTCTGGCTATTGTTACCTGGAGGCATCTTCTGTTTGTGAGGTGTTGCCTGGCACTTGATTCTTTGCTGTCTGGAGTTCTCCTGTTTCTGAGTGGCGTTTTTTATTTACTGTCTTGAATCTGGTTTTTAATACTGGTAACCAGGTTTTGCTCATTTTGATGGTCTTCTTTTTGTTGAAATTGTGGATTTCTTGTGGATTTCAATGGCTTCCCTGTGTAGCTCGACATGATGGTTGTCACCCAGCATTTCTGTGTTCTCAAATAATTTTTCCCACCTGTTCCGTCTCCCAGGAGCCTGGTTTGCCTTAGCTTACAGTTGCTTGAAGTTGCTCCCCCTTGCATTTTCTCCCAGGGTTGCTGCAGCTCTGCAAGAGCCCTGAAAGCTAACAGTTTCAGAGGCTGGAAAGCAAACCTGCAACTATTAGCCTAGAGAGCAGCTCTTTGGGTTTAGAGCCCGCCCCTTCTCCTGGGCTTGAGATCTCCATTTTGGAATCTCCCCTGCCTCCTTCAGTTTAGAGGAAAGACTTCAGACGTGCTCATGGTTAGGCAGGTAGCTCTGGGAAAACCATTGCAAAAACTATATTGTATATTGTATATTAAGCTATATTGTATATTAAGCTATATTGTATATTAAGCTATATTAAGACTATTGAGATATTAAGATATTGAGCTATATTAAGTTATATTGAATATTGAGTTAATATAGATAGTAGGGCTGGGCGGTTTCGTTTCGTTAATTCGTAATTCGTTAATAATTCGTTAATTTTTTCAATTACAAAACGATAACGAACCATTCTGGAGCAATTATTTAAAAAAAACGAATTTTCAAAAACGTTTTGTAAATGCTTCGTATTTCGATATTGTATTCGTTTCGTTATTGTTTTGAGGTCGTTTCGTTATTATTTCCGCATGTCTGGGCCAGTTTTATGGTTTAATTAGTGAAAAAAATTATAATATCACACCAACAGTCAACAACAGAGGGAGAGGGAAGCTTCAGAAGGTTTTGGAGGTTTTTAGCGTATTTCGCGGTCGCGTCCGCCATTAACGAATCGATTCGTTATTGTTTCGGAAATCGATTCGTTAATTTTTTACCATTTACGAAATTTCGTAAATATCGAACTTTTTCAAAGGAAAATTTTGTAATTATTTTAAATATCGAAACAAAAAAAAACCCCCAAATACAAATCGATTTTAGAAACAAATTTTTCCGTTGTTACCCAGGCCTAATAGATAGTAATTGAGCTATTGAGACATAGATAGTAAATTGAGTATTAAGCTATATTGCGTATTGAGCTATATTGAGTTATTATAGATAGATAAGCTTAATTGAGAAGATTGAGTTATAGAGAGAGAGTCTTCACTGCTTTGTCTCCAGAACTAACCTTAAGCTATAAATAGGGGGGGAAACTCCTTTTTTATAACAATGGCAGCTTAAGGTTAGGGTGAAAAGATTCCAGGATCTTCTCTGCCTTCTGGGGAAAAGTTAACTCTGACTGGAGAAAAACAGAAAGAAAGAAGATCTCTGTGGTTTCATCTATTGATTGTTTGTTTGTAACTTTGATAAGCTGTGCCAAGTCTGCAAGGACTTTTAATAAATAAATATCCTTGTTGACGTTTAAAACCAGTAATAGCCTCAGTTGCTAAGTATCTCAAACTTCTCAAGAAAGACACCCGCAGTTCGCTCAGACATAGAATCATAGAATCAAAGAGTTGGAAGAGACCTCATGGGCCATCCAGTCCAACCCCATTCTGCCAAGAAGCAGGAATATTGCATTCAAATCACCCCTGAGAGATGGCCATCCAGCCTCTGCTTAAAAGCTTCCAAAGAAGGAGCCTCCACCACACTCCGGGGCAGAGAGTTCCACTGCTGAACGGCTCTCACAGTCAGGAAGTTCTTCCTCATGTTCAGATGGAATCTCCTCTCTTGTAGTTTGAAGCCATTGTTCCGTATCCTAGTCTCCAGGGAAGCAGAAAACAAGCTTGCTCCCTCCCTGTGGCTTCCTCTCACATATTTATACATGGCTATCATATCTCCTCTCAGCCTTCTCTTCTTCAGGCTAAACATGCCCAGCTCCCTAAGCCGCTCCTCATAGGGCTTGTTCTCCAGACCCTTGATCATTTTAGTCGCCCTCCTCTGGACACATTCCAGCTTGTCAATATCTCTCTTGAATTCTGGTGCCCAGAATTGGACACAATATTCCAGGTGTGGTCTAACCAAAGCAGAATAGAGGGGTAGCATTACTTCCTTAGATCTAGACACTATGCTCCTATTGATGCAGGCCGAAATCCCATTGGCTTTTTTTGCCGCCACATCACATTGTTGGCTCATGTTTAACTTGTTGTCCACGAGGACTCCAAGATCTTTTTCACACGTACTGCTCTCGAGCCAGGCATCGTCCCCCATTCTGTATCTTTGCATTTCATTTTTTCTGCCAAAGTGGAGTATCTTGCATTTGTCACTGTTGAACTTCATTTTGTTAGTTTTGGCCCATCTCTCTAATCTGTCAAGATCATTTTGAATTCTGCTCCTGTCCTCTGGACTATTGGCTATCCCTCCCAATTTGGTGTCGTCTGCAAACTTGATGATCATGCCTTCTAGCCCTTCATCTAAGTCATTAATAAAGATGTTGAACAGGACCGGGCCCAGGACGGAACCCTGAGGCACTCCACTTGTCACTTCTTGCCAAGATGAAGAGGAAGCATTAGTCAGCACTCTCTGTGTTCGTCCACTTAACCAATTACAGATCCACCTCACCGTAGTTTTGCCTAGCCCACATTGGACTAGTTTCCTTGCCAGAAGGTCATGGGGGACCTAATAAAGATGTTGAACAGGACCGGGCCCAGGACATAGAGAGAAGCACGTCACGGTTTTATTTTTATAGCATCTGGGTGGACGGCACACCACCCTCGTCATTATTCCAAAGATATATGTAAACTCTACTTGCCTCACTTACAACAGGCTTCTAATGATGCCAGGCACAGATGCAAGTGAAACATCAGGTGAGAATGCTACTGGAACATGGCCATATAGCCTAAAAAAACTGGCAGCAAACAAATGAACATGAGTTCACAGTGTGATGTGCGCTAGAAAGGCCAATGCAATTGTGTCTTCCAGTGTAACAGGAGGTTGGATTGGATGGCCTTTGGAGGCTTCTTCCAACTCCAATTTTCTCTGCTTCTGTGATGCATGTGAAATGTCTGAATGCGCTGGATGTGGAGTGTCAGTTCCTTCTCTGAATCCCCGCAAAGGGGCGGAAAGCAGGTGGACTTGGACTCCCAGGGCCCTCTTCCTCCCAGCCTGGGCCTCCTTTGAGCCCCCTTCCCTTCCCTTCCCTTGTTCCCTTTCATGGCTTGAAGCACAAGTCCCTCCCCAAACCTCTCTTCTGCCTCCTCACCAATTTCCGCGCTCTCCTCCTTGCCTTTGAAGACAGCATTAAAGGCCAAGGTGCGAATTAGTTTTATGGGTTTTCTCCTTCTCCCCCTCCTTCCCTTTCTCAGGCTGAACTAATGGGTTTTCTCTCTCTCTCTCTCTCTCTTTCTTCCCTTCTCTCCCTCCTTCCTCTTTTCCTTCCTTTCCTGCAGCTAAAAGCATCTCCACAGGAAGAGCCCGGGAAGGAAGCGACAAAAATAAGCGTGAGTTTTTCCGATAATGACTTCTTCTTGGGAAGAGTTTTTTTTTCCTTAAATCAAGGGCACGGCCATGACTTTGCTCTTTGGCACAAAGTATAGGTTTAATTTTATTTATTATTATTTATTTTGCAAAAGAGTTGGGAAGTTCTTCTCCAACTGCAGACTTGCAAGTCTTTGCAGACTTTTGCATTCATGGAGTGTAAGAGTAACAAAAATCATGGCTTTTCTATTCATCAACCAAGGCAAACACTTGACAGAGATTTTATTTATTTTGGGTATTTTTACCCCACCATTCTCAACCACCTAGGGGGGGACTCAGGGCAGTTTCCAGCCGGCACATATCCGATGCCTACAATTCAACTGTTGCAACCCAGATCAGGAAACAAGACCATAAGATTAAATCCACCACACTTGACTGTGGAAAAAACAATCTTTTTTATTGATGAAAAATGGTTACAAAATAGAGGAAAATGCAAAGTCAAAAAGCCACAGTAAAACTCAGCAGTCAGGAATATCTCTGAACTAGATCAAAATTCCAAAAGCAACACTATAAAAACCTGGAACCTGTTAGTATCTCACTAACCGTACTTGGAAACTAGAAGCCTCTGGGAATGCAGGCCATGGGAAACGGGAACTCAGCCAAGGTAATGCCTCAGTCTAAACGATGCTTGATCTAACAAGACAGCCCGGGGGGAGACACTTTAAACTAAAGAAACTGTTTCGGGACACGCCTCCAGGCTTGGAAGCCTCCTTCTGCTTTAATCTACTTGACCTTCGCAGACTCTGTGATTCACTCCTGTTTTCCCAAATCTGCCTTCTTCTATCCTCATTAAAAAAGGCAGGTGTTAACTCCTCTGGAGAGTTATCACCGCTTGATTCTGAAACATCCTCATCAGGATGTTTAGTTTCACTTTCCCAGCCACTGCCCTCAGAATCAACAGTTTCCAAACCATCAGGGAAAACTACATGTTCAGTAGCCCTTTCAGTTGCATCAGGAAGTACAATCAAAGAATCAGGGTCAGGTTCACACGGAGGCTGAGGGTCAGGTTCACATGGAGGCTGAACCCCAACATCAACACAGTAAAATATACAACAGTAGTTATAAATAATTAAAACATTAAGTTAATACAATAAAATCTAATAGAAAAAAGCCAACCTGGTGGCCATCGTTTTGCCGAGTTCTGTAATCAGTGAGTCCATTCCATTTATCATAATCCATTCCAAAGCTCTTGTCGTCATTGTCCTTGTCAGTCTGCCAGATTACCCAAAGGCCTGGCCCCATATCCATGTTTTTAATTTCCTTCTAAAAGAGAGGAGGGATGACGATGATCTAATTTCCCCAGGGAGTGAATTCCACAGGCAGGGGGGGGGCACCACCAAGAAGGCCCTGTCCCTCGTCCCTGCCAGTCTCGTTTGTGACAAGGGCGGGACCAAGAGCAGGGCCCCTCCAGAAGATCTTAAATTCCTACGCGGGATGTAGAAGGAGATACGTTCGGACAGTTACACCGGGCCGGAGCTGTATAGGGTTTTATAGGTCAAGACCAGCACTTTGAATTGTGCTCGGAACTGGATCGGCAGCCCGTGGAGCTGACATAGCAGAGGGGTGGTATGCTCCCTGCATGACGCTCCGGTGAGTAGTCTAGCTGCCACCCGTTGGACTGGTTGAAGTTTCCGAACAGTCTTCAAAGGCAACCCCATGTAGAGCGCGTTGCGGTAATCTATTCAGGATGTAACAAGAGATGTTATCCTTTGTGGAAATTGTCCTGTGAAGCCCTTTATTCTTAGTTTCTTACCACAAAAATGAGGGAACAGAAATCAAGCTTAGCCTCATTTTCCGTGCAGGTTAGGCAACCATAACCCAAACATCCAAAATACTCTAAAATGTAAACTTGAGTGTCTGACTCCTTTGCTTTCTAATGGCTCTATGCATTGGACAGGCTGGAATGTGTCCAGAGGAGCGACTAAAATGATAAAAGGTCTGGAGAACAAGCCCTATGAGGAGCGGCTTAAGGAGCTGGGCATGTTTAGCCTGAAGAAGAGAAGGCTGAGAGGAGATATGATAGCCATGTATAAATATGTGAGAGGAAGCCACAGGGAGGAGGAGGGAACAAGCTTGTTTTCTGCTTCCCTGGAGACTAGGACACGAAACAATGGCTTCAAACTACAAGAGAGGAGATTCCATCTGAACATGAGGAAGAACTTCCTGACTGTGAGAGCCGTTCAGCAGTGGAACTCTCTGCCCCGGAGTGTGGTGGAGGCTCGTTCTTTGGAAGCTTTTAAACAGAGGCTGGATGGCCATCTGTCAGGGGTGATTTGAATGCAATATTCCTGCTTCTTGGCAGAATGGGGTTGGACTGGATGATGGCCCATGAGGTCTCTTCCAACTCTTTGATTCTATGATTCTATGATGTCATTCCATGCACAACATTATTTTTTAAAAAATATTGTGCATAAAATTATCTTCAGGCTATGCGTATAATAAGATGTGCATTAAACATCTCCATGGTGTTCTTAAGCCAGAGGTCCTTCATTTCAATGGTGTTCACTGTTATCCACAGTTTTCCGTATCCACATGAAATCCAGGTACATATTTGCTGCAGAGACATATCTCCTTAATAATAATAGCACTTTATTTATATTCCGCCCTATCTTCCTGAGGGGACTCAGAAAGGATTATAGTATATACAAACACAAACACAGGGAAACATTCCATGCCTTGATACAATTAATAGAGATTCACAGACAAACACAAAGGCTTCTCCTTGCATCTCCAGCTTCTGAAGGCGGTGCTCAACTTCCAGCCCTGGAGGGAGGGGGGTGTTCGTCTCCATTTCCAAGCTGAGGAGCCTGCATTGTCCATAGACACCTCCTGGTCATGCTGCATGGAGCGCCTGTTTGCTTTCCTGCCGAGGCAGTACCTATTGATCTACTCACATTTGCATGTTTTTTGAACTGCTAGGTTGGCAGGAGCTGGGGCTAATAGCGGGAGCTCACCCTGTCTCATATATTCGAAATGTCAACCTTCAGGTCAGCAAGTTCAGTGGCTCAACGGTTTAACCCACTGTGCCATCCACAGTCCTTCTGCTTTATCTATGTCTTATTAATTATTATTATTATTATTATTATTATTATTATTATTATTATTATCCACCATATTTGGAGAACACATTCCAGAGACTCTGATATGCTCACTTTGTTTTTCTGCATGTAAAAGCAAAGTGTGCCTATCTGTGAAACTGTGCTGTCTGCAAATGAGGCATCTTCACCTTCATTTGCAGTCATTGCATACCTTCAAAGTCATTGCAGACTAATAGCAAACCTATCCTGGCTTCTTCATGGATAGATTACTTGAGAGAGGGTTTGCCCTTGCCTTCCTCTGAGGCTCAGAGAGCGTGACTCACCCAATGGGCTTCCATTGGATGGTCATTTGTTGGGAGGGTTTGAATTGTGTCTTTCTACTTGGTCTAAGTCTATAATCCGATGACCCAGAATGGTTTGCTCCAGAAGTGAGCCAGAAGGAAGCCCTGCTTAGCCTGAAGGTGAGATAGTAGAATTGTTGGATTTGGATTTTGGCAAGTTCTTCAGTCTTCTCTGCTATTTGGTGCCAGTGCCTTACCAAACTACAACTCCTGGAACTCCATAGCATTGATCTTAGACCACTGCTTGCATTCCAACAGTGTAGATCAGTGTATTGTCAAAGGCTTTCATGGCCGGAATCACTGGGTTGTTGTAGGGTTTTTTCGGGCTATATGGCCATGTTCTAGAGGCATTCTCTCCTGACGTTTCGCCTGCATCTATGGCAAGCATCCTCAGAGGTAGTGAGGTCTGTTGGAACTAGGAAAGGGTTTATATATCTGTGGAATGACCAGGGTGGGACAAAGGACTCTTGTCTGCTGGAGCTAGGTGTGAATGTTTCAACTGACCACCTTGATTAGCATTTGATGGCCTGGCAGAGCCTGGGGCAATCTACCGTATCCCATGCAGCTGTGGACAAGTCTCCATAGGGACCACCAAACGCAGCATTGCCCAAACACGAATCAAGGAACATGAAAGGCACTGCAGACTACTTCAACCAGAGAAGTCAGCCATAGCAGAGCACCTGATGAACCAACCTGGACACAGCAGATTATTTGAGAACACAGAAATGCTGGACCACTCTCACAACCACCATGTCAGGCTACACAGAGAAGCCATTGAAATACACAAGAAGCAGGTGGACAATTTCAACAGAAAGGAGGAAACCATGAAAATGAACAAAATCTGGCTACCAGTATTAAAAAAACTCTAAAATTAGAACAGCACAACAACAGAGAGTAACAAACAAGGACATCTAATCACCTCTCAACAAAAGATTGCTCCATGCTCTGCCAGGCCATCAAATGCTAATCAAGGTGATCAGTTGAAACATTCACACCTAGCTCGAGCAGACAAGAGTCCTTTGTCCCGCCCTGGTCATTCCACAGATATATAAACCCTTTTTCCGAGTTCCAACAGCCCTCACTACCTCTGAGGATGCTTGCCATAGATGCAGGTGAAACGACAGGAGAGAATGCCTCTAGACCATGGCCATATAGCCCGAAAAAACCTACAACAACCCAGTTTAGATTAGTATTTCTCAACCTGGGGGTTGGGACCCCTGAGGGAGTCATGAGGGGGTTGTCAGAGGGGTCACCAAAGACTATCAGAAAACACATTATTTTCTGTTGGTCATGGGGGTTCTGTGTGGGACGTTTGGCCCAATTCTATCATGGGTAGGGTTCAGAATGCTCTTTAATTGTAGGTGGACTATACATCCCTGTAATTACAACTCCCAAATGTCAAGGTCTATTTCCCCAAACTCCACTAGTCTCCACATTTTGGCATATTGAGTATTCATGTCAAGTTTGATCCAAATCCATCATTGTTTGAGTCCACACTGCTCTCTGGATGTAGGTGAACTACAACTCCAAAACTCAAGGTCAATGCCCACCAAACCCTTCCAATATTTTATATTGGTCATGGGA